GCCAAGTATGCACCTTACGACGAAGTTTTTGATGCGATTGACTTATTTCACACTCACGGTCTGCAACCGTCAGACGATTTTTACTTAGCGTTTGTGAATCGTATGGATTTTGATCAATCCGTCGTCTCTATGCGCTACATGGAACGCTTACTAAACAAGTTAAGTGTTCATGAATGGATACTTTCATCTTCCGTAATTACTGAAGTAAAGCGCTTCTTCGAAAGGTAGTTCCTTGATTATCTTTGCACATTTGTAGGCGTGGTTGGACAGGAACTCTTGGTGTCAAGGCCATGGGGTTACTTCCCGTCGTGTTCCTATATTTTTAGATTAACTTGTGGCAATTGCCATTATGGTTTGGATAAATACAGGATATCGGATGCTAAAATTACTTCACTTGCGGAGGGATTTTATAACTCTGTTGTCTTGGTACGTAACTCTCCGATATACTCATTTCTGTAGGGTTCAACATCTGATGAGCTTTATCTTACTACAACACCAGAGGAACTTGTTTGCCTCAAAAAGTTTATCCAAGGAGTTGATCGCAAATTCGATTGCATTATTGACTTCCCGAACTTTTTACATACGGCACTATCAACAAGGAAATTATCATCACTTTCGGAAGAAGTCCTTTCAAGTGCCCTATGCAGTGTGCGTTTTCCCTAAAAACAGATTTTCCCTTTATTTTGCCTCGTATTAATCTGTAACTAAGCAGTGGCTGCATGTAAATTCTTTTCGCACTTATAGGCACTTTATCGACTCCACGTGGAGCATCATCTCCACCACTTTTGTCTTGTTGGAAAGCAACGCGGTATCGTTAACAATAAGAAGTTCTGGAAAGCTATCAAACAATTAGGTAATCGTACAGGTATTACGGTTCGCAGCTTTGTCACATCACACAAGTAAGCTTCGCCTGGAGGTTTTTACAAAAGCCAACTGTTACAAGTCATTATCATCTGTCTAATTGATTTATATTTTTTAGAGAAAGGTAGCCATTTTCAAGTATTCTATCTGTCCCCTCCTTTTCATTTCTAGAAGCAACGACGATGCCTTTATGATTTATTTGGCCCTCTGGTCGGGTTCTTCGTGCTACATCGTTTCCAATGATGAATTTCGTCAGCACAGGTTCACTCTCGGTTCTGAATTGGGCGAACAGTTGTCTAAGTGGCAAGCCGCACGACAAATATGTGTGAATTCTGGTCAGCCAGTTGTATTATGCGTAAGTCTTCCTTCCTTCCTTCCTTCCTTAAGGAAGTCAAATATACAAGCAACATTTA